GTGAGTGTCACAGCACTTCGTGCCATTCAGATATACAACTTAAGGTTTCGAAGACTTACTTTTCCGGTGATCATAGAGCACTGACAGTGATATTTGATACTTTTGTTACCTGCAATGGCGTACCACACTTAGCTTTGAATTCAGTCTTTTCTTTTACGTTCCCATCTTTTTACATATTGTGAATGAATGGATTAAGAAAGATTAACTTCAAGTCTTCTTTTCCCAAAATTCAACTTTTTAGCATCGCCATTTTTGCTGCCAAAGCGTACCAAAGCGGCAAACTTAGAGGTGACATTAGTGATACGCAGACCTTTCTAGACCTTATTAAAACAAACTGAGATGCGACTTCAGTGGCATTTAGATCTATCTAAGCTATATTGCCATCTGTAAGCAATGCAAGTGTTAGAGGATATTACCCACTGACGTTACTACAACTAAGAGAAGGACAAGCCATCAATCTTTGCAGGCATTTTAAAGGTCTTCGTACCACAGCCATCCCCACCTTTCATTGATCAGATTGACATTCCACAATCTTAGAATGGATGAAAAGTTTGCTAAACCTTTTGAATCGCTTTTGAAAACTCTGCTGGTGCAGTCTTTTCCGTATTTGTTGATGTAAAATCGAGTGAATAGAATGAAAAAGGATGAGTAGATTAGAATGCTTAGCCCATTATAGTTTGTCTCACATTTCTTCCTGGCATTCAGAAATTGACGTATTTTGATGAGACCAAACAAGCAGATAGGAAATTGTGCCATTTGGATCCCGCTGATTACACGTGCGCTGCACGTTCGACGTTTCAAAACACAACTTTGAGCTGCCAGATAAGAGTAAAGAGCGGCATGAGCAGCAAGATTGGTGATGGCAATCCAACGAGCCATGGCACCAATGTGTTGATAACTGTAAATCATCGAAGTGGAAATGATAATATGATGGGTCACGTGAAGGCTATTTGTTTTACGTCCATCCAAAATCATAAATACCGTGTCTAGTAGTTCCCAGACTTTGCTAATGTGAAATGTGAATATTGCTTTACCCGATCTTTTGTTTTTATAAAGTCCAGCATTCAGACATAAACTTGAGTAGAAACCTTCATGGAAAGAACTTAAAAAATCAGGCAATAAGCTAAGAAAAAGGACAATATTCGCCAATGCATTGAAAGCGTTCCAATAAAAAATGATCGTTGCTAAGCCTCGACTTCTTCCTTTCCAAATTCGTGGCACATTGATTACAAACAGCGCATACACAATAATAAGAAGCATAAAAATATGACGATATTGTCGCAT